CGTCTCTATGGGCCCTTCACTAGCATTGAACGAAACCGAGTCCGGCGCTACCCGCTTACTTATAAGGCGTCTCTATGTGCCCTTCACTAGCATCGAACGAAACCGAGTCCGGCGCTACTCGCTTACTTATAAGACGTCTCTATATGCCCTTCACTAGCATTGAACGAAACCGAGTCCGGCGCTACTCGCTTACTTATAAGGCGTCTCTATGTGCCCTTCACTAGCATCGAACGAAACCGAGTCCGGCGCTACTCGCTTACTTATAAGGCGTCTCTATGGGCCCTTCACTAGCGTCAGGCGGGTAGGAAAAGGTAGGAAAAAATTATTGTATCTGCTGATAGGGAATTGTGGTTTTAAATTTGGATACACTTTGTCTAAGATAGAAGTCATTGGCCAATTTCGATGTTGACTTCCCTTATGTTTATTCTACACATGTCTTTATAGCAGATCCGCGGCTGTCCTAACTGCCTTGCCGCCTCTAACATTCCCAGCACAGAAGGTGTTGGTTTCTTTTGTACACGGGTTCTCTCCATACTTTTGCATGACCTAACCAGCGAAGAGGCTTCATACCAAGAGCGGAGAACTTACTGCAGCGTTTGGTACGTTGCAGAAGCCCTATGTTAGTCAATCTGATCTGCCCTTGACTGCGTGAAATCCGCTTCAAACATCTTATGTGGACGCCATTTGAGTTTCATCTCACGACTGGCGCGTTTGGTCCCAAACTGACTGCCATAGAGGAGCGTACTGGGCACACATGATGACAGTGGCCCAGTTGTGTGCCTTCAGTCGGCTTTGATTTGCTCCACACCAAGCCACTTTATTGGGGCACAGATGCTGCTTTCGTGATCCTAATGTTCAACCATTGATCTTTTAGTTAGGCCTAAATATTGAAAGGGATTCAGCCATTGCGTAGTGCGACATGTGTAGAGAGTTTGTTTCCCACGAGAACAGTCAGCATTAGTCCCGGGAAGTCCCGTCTCTTTGACACATTTTACATGTATCATAAATTTGTAACTTTAAAACTTAAAAAAAATAATAAAATAGAATGGTCAAGTCTATTGAAATAAATAAATTATATCTTGTTAGAAGTGGGTTTTTTTTTTAGGTTATGTTCATATCAATGGTTCCTAAAAATCAACGTGGATTTTCGTAACTTGCTCAAAACTTATGCTTAGTGTTTACTTGTTTTCAATGATATGTTATTATATCATGTTATTGGTCACCGAAGGAAATTAAACATTTGATGATGGTTATACTTCAGATTAAAGATTTTATGTTTTACTCGCTTTGCCCTTTAACGTATTTAGTTGTACTGTACAACACCATTTCATGAATTGACTTCCCTCTGACACGTTTCATTGTTGAAGACTCGCACTTAGCACATTCTAAACCACCTGAACCAACTATAAAGAAATAACGCCATTTAACACGTATTTTGTTTTATGGAAAGAAATGTTTGAATATCTTTTTTTGATGTATTTGTTTAATCAACAACATGACTTTTCAAAATGATTTTGACAAGAACATAACAAGAAAATATTTTGTTAAAAAGATTATTTGGGTGACATTTAATTTAATAAAATGCAAAAAAAAAAAAAAAAAAAAAAAAAAAAAAAAAAAAAAAAAAAAAAAAAAAAAAAAAAAAAAAAAAAAAAAAAAAAAAAAAAAAAAAAAAAAAAAAAAAAAATTCAGATAAGTAACATTTATAATAGAATAAATAGATTTATTTATAGTTTTGTCTCACTACTTCTGGGAGTTAATTTTCTTTTTTTTTTTGTTTTGTTTTTTTTAACAGAAAGCTGGTGTCCTCTTTGCCTCACAACAACGACACATCATACTTGTCAATGACGCACATCGTAGGTCAAAATAAGTCAAAGATTGTATTAAGACAAAGCATGTGAAATTTCGTGAGGGCGTCCATTGCATCTGATGTCACTGCATAGAATGTAGATCCCCCAGTCTGTTTACCATCGTTATACACGCTGAGAGGAAATGTGTGGTGATGGGGGATAGGCACATCTCCAAGTTCATTCTTAAAATACACATCGCATACTCTCTTTGTACTTCTATGTAACGATTAACCTTCGTTAAAATTGTTTAAATATAATATTTACTATTATTTCTAGTTATATTCTTTGTTGTTGTTGTCTGTTCACTTGAACTACATTATGGTTTTACCTTGAGATTTTTTTTTCTTAATAAAAGATTCAAACAATAGAATTATTTGAATGTACCAACAATAAAACCGTCAACAAACGCTAAGGGGAACTATTGTTAACATTTTCATATTTGATATAATATGTCGTGAGATTCCTTTAAAAAAGTATATTATGAAATTTTTACTTTCCTTAACATGTTTACATTTCAGGCTAATATTAATAAAAAGGGAATTATGAGATATATTGATGACAAAAACAAAATGGCAGATGTCTCATAAATTAAATCCCTGGTTCGTGTGCAAAATCATACAGTTGTGTGCAAAGTTTTACAGCATCAGATTTCTTTGTGTACACAATTTTACAGCCCAAAAACACAAACACACGCTTACATGGAAATTTGCTGCGCTGATACTCAGAATTGCTGAGCGGCGTCTGTGAGATAGCTGCGCGGCCGCGCAGCTTTAAGGGAACATTGGTATATTACATCTAATCAAAACCCACCACTATTAATGTTCGCATTACGGGGATATTCACGTGAGTACACTTCAAAAACGGCACAAATGTTCATGCATTGTTTGAGATTTAAGATTCACCGAAACTTGGATTTTTTTTTACAAAAGTACTCGGATTTATGACGAAAGAAGGAAGAAAACTGATTATTGAAAATGACGATTTAGGATTGAGAAGAAGATTGAGGATTGAAAAAGAAGATTGAGGATTGACAAGAAGATTGAAGATGGAAAAAGAAGAGTGTATACTTTGAATTAAACGTTTTTATTGCATCATTAAAATATAACAATAATTCTGCGAAAACCTTGGCCATCAAATAGTTTAGAAAGACAGCGTGAAGTTTTAAAGGTATAAAAATGTAAATAAAATATGACAAAATCAGGCAGTTATATTTCAAAGTGATTTTTTTTAAACCAATACAATTAAAATAAGAAATGTTTAAGTAATCACAGATAATCTCATTGTAATATAAATATCCATTTTTTAAATTATTTTTCAAAGTCCATTTAAAGTATTCATTAGTGTTTCATTTCTCTAACTCCCCCTCTCTCTCTCTCTCTCTCTCTCTCTCTCTCTCTCTCTCTCTCTCTCTCTCTCTCTCTTTCCCTCTTTCTCTTCTTCTCCTCTCTCCCCAATATATATATATATTTTTTATAATATTTTTCAATGTCTATATATAGTATTTATTTGTGTTTCATTTCTCTCTCTCCCTCTCTCTCTCTCTCTCTCTCTCTCTCTCTCTCTCTCTCTCTCTCTCTCTCTCTCTCTTTCCCTCGTTCTCTTCTTCGCCTCTCTCCCCTCTGACTTTTCCCCTCTCTCTCCCTCTTCTTGCTCTCTCCCCATTCTCTTTTTCCCTCTTCTCTCACCTTTCTCCCTCTTCAATCTCTCTACAGCTTATCCTGTTTTTTTTTTAATATGTAGCTGCCGATAGAGCTCCATAACGCTGAATGATCAGCAAGTAAATCGCTACCAGGCGCCTGATTCTAACGCGAACAGGTGAGCTCAATGTGACTTCAACGATTGGATTCTGAAGTAGATGGACACGCCCATGACCACATAGGCCACGATGCCCAAGAAGACGCCTGTGATGTTCCAGGCTCTGGACGCCTGGGCGTGTTCCATGGCCTGGGCGTAATTGCCTTGCCTTGCCGAATCTTTAGCCTGAGGATGAGTGTCAAAGTATTAGCACATCTAAATGATAATGTAATCTTTGTTGTGATCGCAGAGAGCCTGTGTTGTAGCTCGACATGCCTTGAATGCTGATTGGCCGAGAGATTGGGCGAGGAATAACGGGTGTTTGCATAAAGGGCATAAATTATTAATTCTTTCGTCGGGACCAAAAAAAAATGTGCTGAATACAGTGCGGTAGAGTTGAGTGTTTTAACAGCCTATCATGTTAGAAGTGATGTAGTGTTAGATGTGATATAGTGTTAGAAGTGGTACAATGTTAGAAGTGATGTAGTGTTAGAGGTGATATAGTGTTAGAAGTGGTACAATGTTAGAAGTGATATAGTGTTAGAAGTGATATATTGTTAGAAGTGATATAGTGTTACAGGAGATATAGTGTTAGAGGTGATATAGTATTAGAAGGGATATAGTGTTAGAAGTGATATAGTGTTAGAGGGGATATAGTGTAGGAAGTTATATAGTGTTGGAAGTGATATAATGTTAGAAGTGATATAGTGTTAAAAGTGATATAGTTCTAGAGGTGATATAGTGTTAGAGGTGATACAGCAGTACATTAACAATTTTCCGCAGTACCTTAAGAACGATCAGCAGTACATTAACAACTGTCAGCGGTAAACATAAGCAAGTATAGCTTTCTAAAGATTCTGTATTCAAACTGTCCATGATGAAACTTGTTCTTGTTTGCGTGGTAAAGGCGGTAGTGTCCGATATATGATGCCCCATATACAGTTACCCAATTAAGTCCTTGAATTGTTGAAGTCGAATGTTTATTAGCTGACCTTTCACCTTTTTAGTAACTTCCATTGAATTTTTTTTTAATAGCTAAAACCCTCTTTATATTACACATAATTGTATACGCTATATGGTTACAGTTCATATTTGTTGCATTATTAAAACAAAAGACACCTGAAGCACGACTGAACGTGAAGTACAAAGTGTCTTACCGCTCTTGCCAGCCGTATCGCGGCGAGGCCGAATGGCCAGCAACAGCAAAGAAATACCACGACGCTACAGGCCATGTAGTCTGGGATTTCTGACACAGGAGTGGCAGGCTGGAACATCAAAAAGACAAATATTCTATTTCATTTAGAAAATTTCAATACCTAACATGGGCCGTTTGGGTGACGGTTCAAAAGGTCCCATTTGATTGAAATAAAGCATTGTAGCAATGGCGGAAATTTAAGACAGTTCTTACAAAGTGTTTGTTCCACAAGCGTTGTCGCGGGTGTCCTGCGACCCCTGCGTCTGCAAGGAGCCGCTGTGATTTTTGGGGACCAAAGTTGTAATGTGGCACACACAAAATTTATGACATCAACACTTAATAGTTCTAAAGGTAACACAACGGCCTTGTGTTTCTATAGAAGTGGATGATTTTCATAAAGCCGGTTTCATCATCAGTGGCGCTACAGACCATATATTGCACTGGCCTGCTCCACAACATCCTTCCATTCAGACATCATCAGTGGCGCTACAGACCATATATTGCACTGGCCTGCTCCACACCATCCTTCCAAATCAGACATCATCAGTGGCGCTATAGACCATATATTGCACTGGCCTGCTCCACAACATCCTTCCAAATCAGACATCATCAGTGGCGCTACAGACCATATATTGCACTGGCCTGCTCCACCACATCCTTCCATTCAGACATCATCAGTGGCGCTACAGACCATATATTGCACTGGCCTGCTCCACCACATCCTTCCATTCAGACATCATCAGTGGCGCTACAGACCATATATTGCACTGGCCTGCTCCACCACATCCTTCCATTCAGACATCATCAGTGGCGCTATAGACCATATATTGCACTGGCCTGCTCCACCACATCCTTCCATTCAGACATCATCAGTGGCGCTACAGACCATATAGGGCACTGGCCTGCTCCACCACATCCTTCCAAATCAGACATCATCAGTGGCGCTACAGACCATATATTGCACTGGTCTGCTCCACCACATCGTTCCATTCAGACATCATCAGTGGCGCTACAGACCATATATTGCACTGGCCTGCTCCACCACATTCTTCCATTCAGACATCATCATCAGTGTCGCTGCAGCCCATGTCGGGCCCCTTCCTGCTCCACCGCAACCTTGCTTATGGGTCGATCCATGGCTTTCAGCTTCCATGCTTGGATCCCCAACTTAATTAAGCCCTTCTCCACATCGTCAATCCATCTTGAACCCGGTTGATAGTCCATCAAGGTACCACCGGGTTCTAAGAATGATTGACGACAATGGTGGACAGTAAATTAAATTCTTAGGTTTTTAACATGAGCGTTAGAACTTCGTTTAAGGAACTAGTCAGTTCACGATGTTTACATTAGCCTTTGAAAAAATAAATTAGAATTATAAAAGCTCTATCCCTATCACAGCCAGCTGATCAGAGCAACAGGTTATGTTATTATTATTATTATCCTCAATGTATTGGGCACTTTACCTGAGTGTAGACGTACTGTTGGACGGTCTGGTTTGAATTGGGGGGATAAAATGTCCCACCTTGCCATTCGGTGTAAGGCTGTCCTGGATATTGAGGTGGGGGCACTTGGGGGTCATAGTGTAAGGTGTTGGCCGGTGGCTGGTCATAACCATAAGTGGGGTGGGCGGGATAGGTTTGCACATTTTGCTGTGAGATGGATTGATCTTGTGATTGATACTGTGGATAGTAGGGAGATGGATAGTCGTGTCCGTATGGGGAATAGTCGCTCGTGCCTTCAGACGCCTGCTCGTGTGGGGTCAAAATGGCGTCATCAGAATCTTCTGGTGCAGCAGACTGCGTCCTATCGTCAAAAGGCGCCGGGGGAATAATTTGTCCAAACGCGTCGTATTCAATCTGTTTGAGGAGAAACAATGAACAGAATATAGATTACCTAACAAAATATAGATTACCCAACAGAATATAGATTACCTAACAGATAAATAATAAAGATTACCTAGCATAATATAGAATACCTAACATAATCTAGAATACCTAACATGATATATAGAGTAACTAACATTATAGAATCCCTAACATAATATAGATTACCTACAATATAGATTACCTAACAAAATATAGAATACCTAACAAAATATAGAATACCTGACATAAGACAGATACCAAACTGAATATAGAATACCTAAACGAATATATATTACCTAACAGAATAAAAAACATCTAACAAAATATATGTTACTTAACAGAATATTGATTATATAACATCATATAAATTACCAAACATAATATAGATTAGCTAACATAATATAGATTACCTAACACAACATAATATAGATTACCTAACACAACATAATATAGATTAGCTAACATAATATAGATTAGCTAACATAATATAGATTAGCTAACATAATATAGATTAGCTAACATAATATAGATTAGCTAACATAATATAGATTACCTAACACAACATAATATAGATTAGCTAACATAATATAGATTACCTAACACAACATAATATAGATTACCTAACACAACATAATATAGATTAGCTAACATAATATAGATTACCTAACAAGATATAGAATACCGTATATACTCGCATATAAGCCGAATTTAGAACTATAAAATACAATACTGAAATCAGGGGGTCGGCTTATATGCGCATAAAACAAAATGGACACAAGGACAGACACTAATGGCAATTTTCCAGCCACATATTTTCATCGCTATCTGACTCTTTATTTGGTTGTGCGTACAGATTATTAATATATATAAATATATATATATATATATATATATATACAGAGGTGCCACTTCAAAAAGTTTAATGTATGCATAGCTGATAATTATATTGAGTGTGAATATTACCATGGAGAATTCATTTTCGAAGTCAAAAATGGCATAAAATTAAGAAAAAATACTATGGTCGGCTTGTATGCGGTTTTTTGCAAAAAAAAACTGGCCATTTTAAAGCAGTTTTAGGGGGTCGGCTTATAGGCGATGTAGGCTTACATGTGAGTATATATGGAACCTAACATACCACAGATTACCAAACATAATATAGAATACCTAAAGGAATATAGATTACCTAGCAGAATACGAATATTTAAGAAAATGTGGGTTACTTAACAGAATATAATTACCTAAAATGATATAAATTATCTAACAGAATTTTGAATATCTAACAGAATATAGATTACCTAACAGAAGATAGATTAACTAGCACAATATAAATTACCTAGTAGAAAATAGAATACCGAAGAGAATATAGATTACCTATTAAAAATAGATTACCTACAGAAGATAGATTACCTACAGAAGATAGATTATCTAACAGAAGATAGATTACTTAGCACAATATAAATTACCTAGCATAAAATATAATACGTAACAGAATATCGATTACCTAAAAGAAAATCGATTCCCTAACAGAATATCGATTACCTAACAGAAGATAGATTACCTAAACCAATATAGATTACCTAGCTACTTAAAATATGCAAAGATCATAAACGCTCTTTCTCTCCACGGAAAAACCGGTGCAAAGATCAAAGTCTTGGCCACTCAACCTGCTTTGTCTGTGCTGAATGTCATATAAACTCACGGATGTGTCCAATGTCATATCGGTGTCCAATGTCATGTCTGTACCCAATGGAATTGTCTGTGTCCAATGAAATTGTATGTGTGCAATGAAATTGGCTGTCTACGGAAATTGTCTGGTCCAAAGAAATCGTCTGTGTCCAATGAAATCGTCTGTGTCGATTGGTAGGTGCACTGCAGCGTGTCAGTTTGTGACAACTCAATATCCACTACACTTTACCCCATTCTTCTTGTCCACAAATGTTACGACCACAGGCTCCATGTCAGCCATCTTATCATCCGGGATTTCTTTCGTAGCTTTCATCAACTTCATCTTGTCAGCTTTCAGGGCCTGGACATGAGAAAACAGTTAAGGGAATCTATAAATTTTGGAAGAATTTGAATGTTCTTTTTTTAAAAACTAATATACCCGAAAAATCCAAAAGTATTGTTGAGGTATTGTACCAGAGATAAATACTCAAGTTGAAATATTGTATCAGAGATAAATATTTCAGATGACGTATTGTACCAGAGATAAATATTGCAGATGACGTATTGTATCAGAGATAAATATTACAGATGACGTATTGTACCAGAGATAAATATTACAGATGACGTACTGTACCAGAGATAAATATTAATTGGGTCTTATTTCACAGTGGACAATTTTTATCTTGACCTATTACACTATGGACAATTATTATATTAATCTATTGTACCAGGGACAATTATTATCTTGACCTATTGTACTATGATCAATTATTATATTTATCTGTTGTATATGGACAACTATTATCTTTACCTATTGTACCATGGACAATTATTACCTTGACCTTTTGCACAAGGTAGGTTTCTAAATTAAACTTGTTTGACTGGAAAACTGAGAAATTGAACGAGAGATTAATAACATGTTGGTCCATTGTAACCGAGACGAAGAGCATTCATTGGCATGGCTTAACATGACCTTAAAGTTATTTTTAACACTTACCCTGTGATACGCCCTGAGGGCGCCTATTTCAGCAACTTCCTCATGCCTTCTGCCCTGCTGTCCCCGATTCTGATCTACCGATGCAGGTAGGGCAAGGTTGTCGCGTTCATCGTAACCGGTATACTGTTGAGTTGTCGCAGATGTGTTATTAACGTCATTTACATTCACTCCCAAAGACGCCCTGCTGTTGAAATAGCTGCTATTGTTTTGGTAGTCTTCCGTGTCGCTGCTGTGATATGGTGGGGTTCCATGGCCATTTTGTTGATTCCGTTCATCTGGTGTGTAGCTGTAGTTGGTGTAGGATAATTCATGAGTGAACTGGTTTCCAGATGGATCTGATCCTCCATTGTAGCCGGCCATTTCTTACCTAGGGTTGTTAATTAAAGAATTTTTATTATTTATGAGTATAAGTTTAAACATTAAAAAATACTTTGCTTATGATTAAAGCTTTATTTTTAAAAAAATAAAATAAAAAAACCCAAAAAACTCCCAAATAATAACAAATTTCTAACTGCTAGAAGCATGTTTAGTGAAATATAAATTTATTTTATTATTTATAATGTTAGTTGCAGTATACGCCTCAATAGATCAGAGGTTTTTTTTTTTTTAATTCTGTAATCTCATCACCAAACACAATGTATGCGCACGTCGCAAAATAAATATACATTTCGTTTTCACATCCTGTTTGCCTGAAACCATTTCGTCCATGAATTTTTTTTTCAGCTCTAAGCTTGAAGTAGTGTAGCTGCAGAATATTTAATGTGCACAAGATTTTATTTTTATTTTAAACATTCTTCCTTTTTTTTCACTGATGCATGTTGATGGCATAAATAAGGGTCATTCATGCATAGCAGATAAAAAATATCCTGAATCGTTACATTCACCGCTAATGTTGTGTTAGCACGGTTTCACTGCCAATGTTGTGTTAGCACGGTTTCACTGCCAATGTTGCGTTAGTTAGCATGGTAAGTGGTAAGCAATTCAGTTTTCTTTGTTTCGTTAGTCAGTTTGTCGACAGACGTCTTAGTGTTAGTGTCAGTGTTAGTGTCTGTGTTAGTGTCAGTGTAGAATATGTGTTTGACGTTGTGTGAAACTCTAGTTACTGTTTTAGGGTAAATACTTCAAATAACACAGTTTTGCAACTGAAATTCAACACACTCAAAAATAATAATATTTATTTTGTCAATACTTTACAAATTAAAAAAAGCAAATACAATTTTTTTTTTATTTAAACAGACTTTCTATGACAGACGAGCACAAAATCATCCACTCAAACAAAGGAAAAAAAAACCATACTTTCTTAAAATGCATTACGCAAAGATATTAATGTGGAGAAAATATTTTAAAATATTCATAAAAATATAACATATTTAAGTTTTGTCCACGTAGATTCAATATGAATCCTTTGGCTTTATAAAGCGCTCATCTACACTTCTGCACAGTCTTTCTTTGTGATATGCAGGAGAGAAGGAGAGAGTGAAGAGTAATGGGGAGAGGGTTGAGCAGAGGGGAGGAGAGGGTATTGAAAGGTTGAAGAGTAATAGCGAGAGTTCGTAGGAAAATGTGAAGGAGAGGGTTGAGGAGATGGTGGAGGACAGGGTGGAGGAGAGGGTGGTGAGAAGTTAGGAAGAGGGTGGTTAAAGGGTCGGGAGATGGTGAAGAGCAATGAGTAAAGGGTGGTGAAGAAGATGGGGGAAAGGGTTGGAGGAAAGGAAGAGGTAGATGGTGGGGGTTAGGGAGGGGTCAATAGGGAATATAGGGTTGCATTTGTCTAGCCTCTAGTAGTGGACTGAGTGGAGGTTGGATGGGGTTTGTGGTTAAGATGTAAGGACTGACTATGGAGATAGTGGTGGTGTGTACAGTTGACCTGTGCTCAGTGGCGGTTTTAAATCGAGACGTTTTAATTGTGTGACCCTGAACAATTAATTGTTTGTTAGGAAAGTGAAATCGTAAGTCTAAAACACTAACACCCCTTCAAAAACCAAGTGAACAAATCAACACAAATAGGTCTCATTGTTATTTTACGGTGGTCTTTACCCACAAAGGATTCATTTTGATTGAGGGACTACATAATGTAGACTACCCAGGGGCGTAGTGAAGGTGGGCAGGGAGAAAGATGTCCCAGGGCGCCAGCTAGTTAGGGGGCCAAAATGTGCCTTGATATTATTTAATTGATGAAAATAATGGGTTTGAGAGTTGAAGAAAGAAAAAAGGGGGCGCTTTAAAATAAATCTTGTCCCTGGGCGCGAATCTTGTCCCCCGGGCGCCAAACACTCTCGCTACTCCTCCAAGACGGCCCACACATCAAGTAGGGGATTTATTTCCCTTTAAATGTCGTTTAAAATAACAACTCTCTAGGCCTGTATGGCTGTAACGATGTGTTCAATAGGCGCGCAAAGAAAAAATTCCAAAGAAGTTAGCACTAGGGATTCTTAATAAGTATGTTACTTGAATTCATGTGTCAAGTAACTTTTCAGTAGATAAGAAGTTCACCCATCGCCGCCCACATTTCTTTTAATGGGTTATTTCTAGTGTCTAAGTAAATTTGCTCACAATATTATTCCCTTTACATCTGTCATCTCAATTAGCTCACAATATTATTCCCTTTACATCTGTCATCTCAATTAGCTCACAACATTATTCCCTTTACATCTGTCATCTCTATTAGCTCACAACATTATTCCCTTTACATCTGTCATCTCAATTAGCTCACAACATTATTCCCTTTACATCTGTCATCTCAATTAGCTCACAATATTATTCCCTTTACATCTGTCATCTCAATTAGCTCACAACATTATTCCCTTTACATCTGTCATCTCACACGAATGAAAGCGAATCAATTATCTTTAATCATCGATTGCAAAGATAAATTAAAATATAATTATATATTTATACGTATTTAGTTATGTTTGTTAAAACCATTGCATCTTTATTTTATAATCAATACATAATCATCATCAAAATTTCCTTTCGGCTGGAATTTGATTTTTCCCCCCATACATCTAAAATACAAAAACATTCATAATAAATGTCTCACAGCAAAACCACTGGAAAGTTCATTAATTTTAGCACGGCCATGGAAATACAATAAGGCTGCGGCTATTCGCACCCAGGTACCAGAAGTGAGAGGTAGGGACTAAAAACTATTTAAAAATTTATTGTTGGGTTTATAAGACAAAATTGTATCAAATGGAAAGATAATAGAGTGGACTACATGTTTGTAAACTTAACTAAAAGAAACTACCACAAATGACATCCGAATCGCATTGGTCTAAAGGAACACGGGTGTGAATGGCAGCGCTGCGTGTCCGGGGCCTCTCACTACTGGTACCCGGGTACGAATAGCCACTTCGTTACTATAAACTGTTGGAACAAAACCAGCAGTTTAAAATAATCCAAAAACACCATTCGTTAGTGCCAACATCTTTCATGGCCGATTTCTACGATAGAGAGAAACTTTAGATGTCTTGTGTTTAAATTGTTATAATTGTAAAATATTGTCTTTGTTTAAATACGTTTTTATTTATGTGCTGAATTGTCTTCATTTTACCATGAAATAAAAAAATAATAATAAACATTTCATTTTCTTTGGATCAATAAACATCTTATGTATTCTTATTAGTACAAATGATCACACCAATGAAATCGCGTGAAAGGATTCACTGCTAAATTATTCAAACCAACGGACCGTAACACGGAGTTACGTAGTCACAACTAATCGACAGTATGAAATCCTGAGTTTGACCTGACACATCAAATCATTATTACTTAACTACTTACTAAACAGATATGAAATCCTGAGTTTGACCTGACACATCAAATCATTATTACTTAACTACTTACTAAACAGATATGAAATCCTGAGTTTGACCTGACACATCAAATCATTATTACTTAACTACTTACTAAACAGATATGAAATCCTGAGTTTGACCTGACACATCAAATCATTATTACTTAACTACTTACTAAACAGATATGAAATCCTGAGTTTGACCTGACACATCAAATCATTATTACTTAACTACTTACTAAACAGATATGAAATCCTGAGTTTGACCTGACACATCAAATCATTATTACTTAACTACTTACTAAACAGATATGAAATCCTGAGTTTGACCTGACACATCCAAATCATTATTACTTAACTACTTACTAAACAGATATGAAATCCTGAGTTTGACCTGACACATCCAAATCATTATTACTTAACTACTTACTAAACAGATATGAAATCCTGAGTTTGACCTGACACATCCAAATCATTATTACTTAACTACTTACTAAACAGATATGAAATCCTGAGTTTGACCTGACACATCAAATCATTATCACTTAACTACTTACTAAACAGATATGAAATCCTGAGTTTGACCTGACACATCAAATCATTATTACTTAACTACTTACTAAACAGATTTTGTTAGTCCAAACAAAGAAAGAAATCTGCCTAGAGCGTGGACTGTAGCAAGCGTCAACCCAGGGACTGTGGACTGTAGCAAGCGTCAACCCAGGGACCGTGGACTGTAGCAAGCGTCAACCCAGGCTGTAATCAAACAAGGATGTAATGTAAACGTTTCTACCAAACAGATCACCCGGTTTCCTGGAGTTTTCCGCGCGTCACATCCTCTAGTGCTAACAAGGAGTGCATCCTACTAACTTAGTATCCGGTAACCCAGATTTCCATGCGACAGGTAGATATGGGTGTACTTTGGGCGGGGGGCCTTACATTTAAATCACGTGATGCCCCGTCTGGTCGTGCATAGTTATGAAGCGTAACATTTTGGTGTGTGGCGTACAGGTTAGGGCAACCTTGGGCAATTCCAAGACCTTTGCCGCTCAATCCCCCCCCCCCCAAAAAAAAAACCACACACAAACAAAAAGCCCACCAAAATAAATCTGCAGTTAGTTTGCTAAAACTTTCGCCCCTTAATAAACAAAAAAAACGTCCCCTTCCACCTCCCCAACCCCATTCCTACGATTGTGTGTGTGTGGATCTATCAATTGTGCAATAACACATACAGAGCCTAAGCTTTACTTCATACATGTGGCAGGGGGGGGGGGCGTCCATAAAGTACGTCACGCTCCAGAGGGGGTGTAAGAAAGTGTGACAGTTTGTGACAGAGGGGAGGGGGGGTCAGGCCATGCGTGACGTCACACATTTATTTTGTTAAATTTTATTTCTAATTTATTATTTATTTTTTTAGTAGAATTTAATAGCTTGAAAAATAATTTGCAAAAATTTTGTGAAACATTCGAATTAGTTTTATGTCAAAATAACATGAAATGCTTATCTCCTGAATGTGTTGTTCACGATTCTTCTCGCTAGGAGCGCTAGTGTAATGTTGCGAAGCCTTGTTTTATTTATAGCCTTGCTTTCATCTTTCCTGAATCTTATTATTTCTATGATGTCTGCTGCATAATTATGTCACTGTCCTTTTTATTATTTAATCACTGGGTGAGGTCAAGTTTCCCTAATCTACTTCTAATCCTGTGTAAAAAGATTGCATAATCGGAAGATTATCTAAAACTTGACCTCAACTATTGTAAATGAAAAAGCAGCAGATAAATGAATGTATTGTATAATTGTCTAGTCTAATTTTTTGAAATTTTTGTTTTCAAATTTAATATAGATTGAGTTACTGCTTCAATGAATAACTATGACAACTGTTGACGATTAACTATTCTACAATTAAAGTCATTTTAATAATGTGATAGTTCTTTTAAGTGGACATTTTATATTTTAATACAGTTTAATAGTGAAGTGTGTTTTAGATTAAATTTTAATTAGGTGCTAAATTTTTGTTTAATGTTCGAAAGTGTGACGTACTTTAGGAGGGGGGGGGGTTCCGAGATTTGAGACAGTTTGTGACATGGGGGAGGGGGGATGACGTACTTTATGGACGGCCCCTGTACAGTTTTATAGTAAGCCAGGGCTTGAGGAAACTTTATTGTTTTTTTTTATTGAAAAGAGATTTTATAAATTATATTTCCTGGACCATTTTGTTTAGGGAGGGGCAAGCAGGAACTGATTAGGAGAATCATTTTGCAAGTTAAACCTTTAGCAATATTTACCTTTTTAACACTTTCAATGTAGAAACTATTCCTTGAATATAAATAATTAATTAAATTTAATATATATATAATTAAATCATTTATTTACTCTTTTATTCTAAAATAAGTAGAATAGGTTGTTTTGTTGTTTTTTTGTTTTGTTTTTTTTTTTGTTTTTTTTTAACTGGACAATTCATATGCAATAAATGAAAGATTGTAGTACAACCTGCTATTGATCATGACCTTGGTAGCGTCGGGTGACATGTTCTAGGGCAGCGTTCCCCAACATTCTAAGTATGGCGTAGAAGTTTTGAAATCTCACCAGATTTGTTACTTTAATTAACCATACCTGATTTGTTTCGTGCGGCCCACAACTTAAGACTAGCCCACCGGCCCCGGTCAGCGAACTAGCTTGTAGGAGATTGTAAATATCTGATTTTAAATATCTTCATAATTTATATATATATATATATAATATAGCTAGATAGATAGTTATAGATAGTATACATACACGCATGTGACATATTATGAAAACATTCCTAACATATTTGTTAACAAGAAACAGAAAGATTTCAACAGAAATGTGTTTGATTAAGGTGCTACAGTTAAATTACGAAAAATTCAGCTCAAAAAAAAAAAGTTTATGATGATAGTCGAGTTACACTAAAATAAAATCTCAGTAGAGTTTATATGAATTAAAGAATTTAAGGCAGATCAGCAAAATCGCGATGTATTGTGCAACGCCATATATCAGGCCAAATGTGTTCCATTCGACAGCAGATTGAGAGTGGTCCGTGGCCTTGACATAGTTGCCCTTTAACAGCGGCACGAACCTCAGGGTGATGTGAAAAAACAAAATGGATGCAAGTTTATACTAATCGCGGAATTTACGTGGTGATGTGGTTGGGTGATGTACGTTGTGACGTGATGTGCATGATGAAGTGATGTAAGTGGTAAGGTGATGTACTTGCGGACTTGATGTACGTGCTCATGCAGGTGGTGGCTAGATACAGTAGGGTAGAGCATTACTAGGTAACGTATTGTTCTTACTTAAACCTTTTCGGCGTTAAACCATTTTGCAATGAGAAAAGTCCAAGGATCTTCAAAGACAACGTGACATCACTTGAACCATGGGTCTCAAACTCGCAGCCCGCGGGCCATTCGTGATGAAATCGTACATTAAATCCTAACTCATAAGAGCCAGAATGAGCACTAAATTTGATCGTGGGGATTAAAATAAATATATAGAGGAAGAAGAGGAAGATAACTGAAATACATTTCTAAAATTGTTGACCGATTCCCGAATGGTGTATGGCAACGAGACAGACTATCCACGAGAAGACGTGGAACACGGTGATGCTCAAGGTCAAGTAGGTTTCGACCTTCGGCTCAGGAGCGGCTGGCTGAGACAAGATAAAAGTTTTGGGTTTTACTGCAGGAGGTTTCGACCCCATCCAACTGCACACCGCTGGACTGTAAAGCAGCGCTGTAAATAGCTAGAGTAAATCCCGTGCTGATAGCGGCATCTGAATGCCAGTCCTACGATATGTGAAACTTCGCACATCAAGCCGATGCCGTAATATAACTTTGAAAATAGATTTTTTTTTTTAAACATGTAAAAAATAAATAAACAAAATAAAATGCATGATAAATAACTAGTTGGGGGGGGGGGTTGGCTCACAAGTTTTACAAAATCATTTCTAGCTTACCTTTGGTATGCCCTCAAACTTATCTCTAGTTTACCTTTGGTATGCCCACAAACTCATCTCTAGTTTACATTTGATATGCCATAAAAAATAAATAAACAAAATAAAAGGAAGGATAAAAAACTAGTTGGGGGGGGGGGTTGGCTCACAAGTTTTACAAAATCATTTCTAGCTTACCTTTGGTATGCCCACAAACTTATCTCTAGTTTACCTTTGGTATGCCCACAAACTCATCTCTAGTTTACATTTGATATGCCGAAAAACGTATCTCTAGTATACATTTGGTTTTCCGACAAAATCATCTCTAGTTAACATTTGGTATGCCCATAAACTCATCTCTAGTTTACTTTTGGAATGCCCATAAACTCATCTCTATCTTACGACTTGAATGCCCCAAAACTCATCTTTATCTTACGACTTGAATGCCCACAAACTCATCTCTATCTTACGACTTGAATGCCCACAAACTCATCTCTAGCTTACGACTTGAATGCCCACAAATTCATCTCTATTTTACGACTTGAATGCCCACAAACTCATCTCTATCTTACGACTTGAATGCCCACAAACTCATCTCTAGCGTACGACTTGAATGCCCACAAACTCATCTCTAGCTTACGACTTGAATGCCCACAAACTCATCTCTATCTTACGACTTGAATGCCCACAAACTCATCTCTATCTTACGACTTGAATGCCCACAAACTCATCTCTATCTTACGACTTGAATGCCCACAAACTCATCTCTA